ACGGCATTGAAGCTTTTGAGGGCGATTTTGAGGAGGAATTCAAGGGTTTATCAGCAAGGTGAGTGGCTTGAGCCCTAATACTTGTATATGTGATGATTTCCCTTTGTTTAATCATGGAATTTGTTGAAATTAGGGATGAAAGTGGGGGAATTAGGGCTTGAAATTGGAGAGTTTAATTTGAGGATTTGAGGGGTCATTCGACGTCGGATTTTGTTGGTTTTGGTATGTATAGACTCGTGAGTGAAAGGAGTTTCTAGTTTTGTAATTTTTATCGGATTTCGAGACGTGAACCCGGGGGCCGGGTTTGAGTCAAATTCGGGATTGATGGTCTAATTTGATAATTTTCGTGTGGAATTCATTCCTTTAGCGTATATTGATGATAACATACTGATTTTGGTTAGATTTGGAGCATTTGGAGGCCGAGTCGAGAGGCAAGGGAATCGCGGATTGGAGTTTTGTTCGGTTTGAGGTAAGTAACACTACAAGAAAATGAGCCTATGGGAACAGATTTATTTGCAACGGTTCATAAACTGTTGCTATAGAGACCTTATGGTAACGGTTTTAACCGTTCCAATAAGTCGTAGGTACCTTCGGCACACTTCAGTCATAAAAATGTTGCCCTTGTGTAGAAACCGTTCCCATAGCTATTTTTTTTGCAAAGTTTCTTGTAATCGTTCCTATAGACGAATCTATTGCAACGGATCTGGGAAAAAAAATCAATGGGAACGGTTATTAATTCCTCTTAATTATTTCCCCCCAAAATTTTCGTGAAACCCGCCAAACCCCCAAATTATTTACATTCTACTTTTTCTTATCTGTATTTTTTATCTAATAGTATTAGTTATAATTATTATAATTAATTAACAGTAGAAGATAAACTATACCTCTCTCTCTCAAAGCTCACGCCCAGTACAAACCCAACTCTCTGCCAAACCTCGCCACCGCCGGTGACACCTACGCCGGTGACAGTCCCTCTGCCAACCTCCGTTAAATGCACCAATTCTCAGCAAACAATTTTCAACAGTTGAGCCCTAATTCGCACCAAATCTCAGCAAACAATTTCCAACAGTTTAGGTTTTTTTCTCGATTAAGCTCGGCTAACAAGTTCCACAGATCCTAATTCAAGGTTTTTGCTCGATTCTCATTAATTTCTGATTTATTTCGCATGCTCTTCTTTTACTGATTTTGCGATTTCTCAACAGTTGAGCCCTAATTCGCCTATTTCATTCCTCACTGAAGAAGAATTTGCCGCTGGGTAGCTGTGGAATAGATATCATCGTAAGTTCCTTACTGGTGGATTAATTGATTTTAATTTTATTTTTGGGGTATTTGAGCGATGTACTGTTATTGATTGGAAATACACAATCTTTGTTGTTCTGTGATCTTTTTTCTGGGGGAATATTGTGCTGATAATGGTCGTCCCCTCCACCCTTAACCCATCTGAAGTTTCTGCTTTTTATGCTACTGAATTAGCTTTATTTGTATAATGGTAATTGTTTGTGATCTTGTTTAGTTGGGCTCCTCTTGTGGTTGGATCTTCTCGTACTGTATAATGGGTGAAAACCTTAGATTTTTAAGCACTATAATTCAAGTGTTTTAAGTATATGAACTGCTGCTATTAGTTATTGTTTGGAGGTTACCTTTTGCTGCAGCAACTAGCTAGGTTCACTTCTTATATGAGCACATTGTCTCCTGAACTTTTGGAGCAAATATTTCGTGATTGTTTGGGTGCTTCAACTTGCTATCAATCTTTTTGTGTGGTAATAGGCCTTGTATGGTTTTCACTACCTGTAAACAAAAACAGAGTACCAAACATTTGGGTAAAACGTGACATCCCTCTGTCTATTTCAGGATCATATGAAATGCTTGATTGATTTTCTCACAATTTGCTAATTCACTTTTTACTCCGTTTTTAGTGAATAACATCCTTTTTATTTGAATTTCATGTATTAGTCAATATTCACAAGACAACTGAAATGTTCTCCAAATAATGGATTTAAACAGATGCCCCATATAATTGGTAGATCTACAAAACCTGCAACTAGTCACATTGTCCTATTATATCCTGAGTTAGTTACCCCTGCAACTATCTATGGAACCTTAAGCCATTGATCCGTGTAGCATTACTTATCAGTACTCAAATTTCTTGAACTTAAAATTTTTTTCTTGTTTGTTTGTGCGCTGATAAGATAAGAATCTACTTTCTGTTCCTTGCCTACTCTTATGGGTTGAAACTTAAATGGATGTGTGTCTGATGCTTCAATCATGGCAGTTTTACTCTTCTCATGCTAATTCCAGTGATTGGTCTAATCTTCGCTTCTTAACTGATGCTTCATTGACTTGCTCTAAATCAAAAGCTGTTCTCATCTGTGGCTCAAACTACAACTGTTGTGCAGCTGTAGTTAAGAGCAAGGGTCCATTTAAGTATCTCCAACGATGTAGTTCTGCATTTCACCACTACTAAATTTGCTCTAAATCAAATTTTCTCGTTTCCTTTGAATGACTAAAATTGATTACTTAATCAAGAATATCACACTATAGGTAACGTCCTTTTGGTTTGTTATGAAGGTAACTCATGTTCTTTTTGAATGTTCCCCTGTGTGGACGAGCTTATTTCAAAGGAATTGTGCAGCTGAGAAATGCAGCGCCAAGAAGGTCTAAGCTCTTCTTAGATTTTTCTGTCCATAAAAAAACTTAAAAGATCGAATAAACCAAATCTCCAGTGGTCCGTCTTTTTTCTTCTGGCATCTGATTAGAGACAGAACCAAGCTCTATGAGTGAACAATAAGAGTTACTGGGCAAATTCTCATTATTTCCCCCTGTTTCTTGTTAATTATTGGGGACCTTTTTATCTCCTGTAGTCCAGATAGTTGCTTCTAATGGGCATTGTCGTGGTGGCTCAACAATATATTCTCTCAGCATTGTTTTAAACCTTAGAGAAAGATGTTTTAAAAATCGGGCTGTGGTATTAGATTATGCAGCTCCGAATATACCACAAGTGCTGAATCTTTGAAGCTTCGTCCTCTGAAGTGTCGTCTCTGATAATAGTTGTACTCTGTTTCTGCTGTTCCTTACTTTGTATTCTTCAAGGTAACTCACATGGGAATTTGCTTTCCTTGTCCATGTACTGTTTGTACATCTGCGCAACTTTCTCCTGAACATAGCTTTGAGTTTATTGAACACAGTCCATTCCCACCACACCACATACTAAAAAAAATAAACAGGTACTTTAGTAGAGCACATGACGTACTATAGTAGAGCACATGAAGATTGTAAATTGAACCTTCACTGTGCAGTTATACTCTAACCAAATTTGAACTATTTTAAGATTGATTATCAAAACACAGCCTTTTTGGCGATTACTTCATTTACTGTTTCTCTTCCTTTTCTTTGTTGAGTTTTATTACGCGGAATTTTGATCCAAATCTTGCATTATTTCTTTCAGCTTCACCTGAAATATATATTATTCAAGCAGATTTTAGTTAGAAATGATATACTATGTTTGCTGCTTTTGCTAACCTATATTGTGTTTGCTTTTCAAAATCTGAAAAATATTTGAATAGTCATGAATCAAGAAGGGTGCTCAAGCAAAAATAAGAAAATATCCAACCGCATTCCAGCTGGATCACTTGCATCTTTGCAAAATCAAAGGGTTTCGTCGTTGACAACAAAAAGAACCTTCCAAGCTACAAAGTCAAATGCAAATGAAGAACGACAATCAGAAGGTGGCTTACCTTCATCTTTGCGGAACCAAAAGGTTTCGTTGTTGACAACAAAAACAACCTTGAAAGCTCTAAGGTCAAATGCAAATGAAGAACGACAATCCGAAGGTGGATCTCAATTGCAAGAACAAGTGCAGCAAGTGCCACAGAATTGCACCTCTTCAGCAACACAAGGAGTACATGAACAAGTGCAACAAGCGAATATGGATTCCATCACTCCTGCATCACAGGGAGTACATGAACGATCTGATGATTCTACCACTCATGAAGCAGCTGAACAAAATTGAAGAACAAGGCAAATATATATAAATTTTAATCATAAACTTAACTAAAAATAGTGATTAATCATTATCTTTGTTTTGTACTATTGCAGGCCCCTCCTCGCCAAAAAGAAAAAGACTATACTCAAATGCAAAGTGTTTATGGTAGAAAGGATCGTAAAATAATCACTCTAAATGAGTATAATCAACCCGTTGGTCCTACTAAAGAGGTTGTAAAAGAGTTGGGTAGCTTCCTCGGCACATTGGCAAGGAGTGGGACTTTTTGTCCTCTTAATGTATTTAATTGGAGGAAACTAGACACAAAAGATGATATGTGGAAATATATCAAGGTATGAAGTTCCCAATGTCTAATAAACATGAATGATATTTCTTATTTTTTATACTAACCCAATTGCACTAAATTTGTAGAAAAAATATGACATTCCTGACGAGGTGAAACAATGGGTGTTTGATTCAGTTTGTAGTGCTTGGAGAAAGTATAAGAGTCAGTTGAAGGCAACCCACTTCACAGCCTATGAAAATGATGAGCTTCGAATGAAGAATAGGCCAGTAGATGTTCCGGAATCTCACTTTAAGGATCTTCTTAAATATTGGAACTCCGATCCACACAAGGTAATACATCCAGAATCTCTTGTCTTGTTCTATATATGCGACCTTCATATCTATATTCTCCTGACTTCCTTGATAGATCTCCCTCAGGTTGGTCCTGCCTTTCCATAGTATCCTTTTTCTCCTGTTATCAACAGTCAAAAGTGATCAACTTATGTGTATTAATTCTCGAGTGAGTTTGAGAATTGTCAAAGACATAAATTAAGCAAAAAAAATTATGCCTCTCTAGCCGCTTAAACTTTAGGAGATGAGATGGTCACACGAGCAAGAATTTCGTGGACCTGAATTTTCTGGAACATACCTCTGTAGTTTCTAAAACTGCTTCCGCAATTTGCAAAACAATGTTATTCTCTGAAGCAATTTCCTTCAGTACTTTGGTTCTATGTTCTAAGCTAGGCATCCTCGTTGACAGCTTTTGAATCATCTACATTGCATGAAACATCAAGTCATTAACATGCTATTTATTATAGTAGATTAAGATAGTATCAAACCAGGTGTTCTAGTAAATATTACCTTAGGATTTACTCCACAATTGTTTCTTAACTCAACAGCTAATCTCTTGTCTTGTCATAATTACTCCATAATTGCGATTCTGTAGCTAATCTCTTGTCTTGTCATTTTTCCTTAGTCATTTTTCCTTTTTGCAGTATATTCATGAAACAATATTATTTGCAAGAACAATTGTTCTACTTGATGTCTTCGACTTCAAGATAAATGGTTCTGGACATTGTTATCTTCTTGAGCTGTGTTTTAAGAGGGAAGTTGTGCCTCTACTAAGTGAAACAGGGAGCACCAGGATATTGCTCTTCTTCAAGTTTTAATTTGTGTTCATCTTTGCATGTATCAGTGGCTCATTGCAGTCTGTTTGATGATTGTTCTTGCAAATTACTTGATTGAGTAAAATGTGGTGAATAGATGCTCTATAAGCTGTCAGCAGAACTTAAAATTTGCAGAACTGTTAACAAATGATGAGCATAACTGTTGGTTGCTATTGATTGACTCGTTTATTTGCAGAAAATGTCCGAAACCAATACAGAGAATCGAAGTAAGTTGATGTGTCCGCACACTGCTGGCAGAACACCTTTTGCTCTAATTCGCGAGGTTTGATGTTTTATCTTTCTTATTTTTTTTTAAATTATGAACTTGCTAACTTTATATGGAAAGATTCTTATACCTGTTTTCATGTAACTAGGAAAAAAAGAAGGAAATCTCTGATACTTCAGATACTCTGTCAAGTAAGGACATTTTTGTGGCTACAAGAAAAAGAAAACTTGGCCGAGTATACAAAAGCTCATATGACAATACGATTAGTAAAATTGTATGAAATTTCTAATTTAAAGTTTGTCGTGCTTATTTATTTGTTCTTAATTATTGATTCAACTTTAGTTACTTAAAACTCTTTTTTCTCGCATTTTTGGTTTGTAGGCTGAAATGGAGAGAGTACAATCCACTCAGGAAAGTGAAGATGGCAGTCATTCAGTTGACGCTTTCGTATCAGTCATGGGACCTGAACATCCAGGTCGCGTGAGATTGTACGGACGAGGGTTACCAAGACTGTGTTAAAAGGGCAAAAAGGGAATCTTGGATCTTCTTTAGATGCTGATGAGAGGATGGAGCAGAAAATAGAGGAAATGGAAGAGAGGATGCAACAAAGAATGCATGAAAAGTTGAACGAACAAAAGGATGCTATGGAACAAAATATTACAATGAACGTCATCGCACGACTTCAGCGTCTGAACCCAGATTTGCGACTTGATCCTGACATGTTAAGGTTCAGTGCACATTCACCTGTAGATGCTTCCTCTGCACAACAAGCTGCTGTTCAACTAAACAATCGACCATCTGCCGGTAGTAGCACTCAAGGTAAGTACGTACCAAATGTTATACATCTTCTCCTATTTCTTCTTCTCTTCCTTCCTTGCTTGCGATTTTGCATATAACATCAATCACTGCTGAGTTGATATAAGCAACTGTTTAAAATCTTTGTCTGCGTGTTGCTTCCCTTACTATCATAGACATCAATGCATATATTCTAATTAACTCCAACAGTTTCACACTGCAATTTAACTTGGACAACATCTGACTGACCTGTTTGTGTTGCTATCGTTCCTTGTCACTTCTAAGACTAGTAAGTCATGGTTAGATCAACTGAGAGTAGGTAATTCTTGTGTGTCTTTGATTTGTCTTTAGGTAATTATTGTGTTTCTTTGACTTGTCTTCTGGTTTTCATCTCTCAAAGTATATGATTTGACCAAATTTTTGTCTATGCATCATAATCCAATCATGCACATATGAGGCTTTCTATAATTTGCTAGCCTAATAGATATTATACTTCTATGACAACTCTTAACATATTTAATCTAAAAGGAAAAATTCACTGCAATGTTGGATCCTGAAATCTTCCAGTTGTAAATAGATGGTTCAACAGTGTATCAAGTATTTCACTGCAATGTTGGATCCTGAAATCTTCCAGTTCATGGTTTTTGCCTGTAAAGATCCTTGGCTTCTTCTTATTGGGTACAACTTATAAGGAAGTAAAACACAGGTGCAAAGGGGTTAAAAATAGATGTACAGTAGTTGCTTGCTGCTCGGGACAATACAACCCTTGTGCACAGTGCACAATGGTCCGGTTTATTATGTTATCCGTTTAACTGGTAATTGGTGATCATCATTCTTGGTTGTTTCAGGTGTTAAATCTATCATAAATTTCTTAGAATATATGCATTGATGTCTATGATAGTAAGGGAATGAGTTGAATTTACATCTGACTACATTTCTTTTATGGGTTGTGGTTGATGATGCAGGTTTCCCCTCACAGTTTATATGAACATAGATTTTGAGACTCTACTTGGTTCACTTCTTTTGTATTTAATTAGTTATTTACTTCAGGTTCATTTTGGTAATAAGTTTACTTATCCTCTTTTGTAGGTGGAGTAGATCAAGAAATGGATGATGAAGACGATGCAGAACGAGACCTTACTTGAAATGAATTTTGTATTGTTATAGATGGATGTTCTAGGAATCTTTTGTTACCAATATTTTTGAAACTTATTTACTATCTTGAAATGTACTAAACTTATGCACTCATGGGGTAGAACATTTGCTTTATGGATATTATTTGCTTGATGGATAATTTTGTATTATTACTAGTTTCATTTTATGATGTATTTAAATTTTAGTGTTATTATTATTTATTATATGTATAAATATTTATTTATAACAGGTGCTATATTTTGGTTTTAACTAAATCGATACAATAGCCTACCAGAACCGTTGCAATAGGACACAAATGGCGTTCCAATAGACAATGTAAACCGTTGCAATAGGTCCAATAAACTATTCAAATACAAAATAACCGTTACGATAGCCTAAAGAAACCGTAGCTATATCCAACATAACCGTAGCAATAGCTTACATAAGTGTTGCTTTAAATAATAAGGTAACGGTTAAAAACCGTTGCATAAACAATACAGTAACGGTTCTAAACCGTTCCAATTGAAACAAATAACCGTTCCAACAGAGAACGGAAAAACCGTTGCAATAGACGTATCTATTGTCACGGCAATGCAAACCGTTACAAGAACCGTTCAGTAGGCCTATGGGTACGCCGGCTGATGTGACGGTCTTTGAACCGTTCCAATATACCTATGGCAACGGTTTGGAAGTGTGTGGGAACGGTTTTGCAACCGTTCCCGTAGACCAATTTTTCAGTAGTGTAATGATTGTAAATCTTGTCCTAAGGGTATGAAACCCCGGATTTAACATCGTTTCACTATTTTTAGGTGACGCGCATGCTAGATGACGAGCGTGAGGGCACGTACCGTTAGGGATTGTGACTTGGTCCATCCCGTAGCAACTATTAAGTTGCGTATTGATTGAAAACTATTTAATACTTATGTGCTTTAGAAAGTATTACTTTGTTTGGGGCTAAATGTCATATTTGGGCCTCGTGCCAAGTTGTTTGGACCCTTAGGGGATTTTTACTACTATTTCCTCACTGCTTTGATTTAAGATCTGTACTCAGTCATGCTATGCTTTACTGATTTTATAACTCAGTCTTATTTACTCCGCTTTGATGCATAAAATGATATTTTGGGCTGAGCACCCTGTTTTATTGATAGCTCGAGTGGCTTGAGAGGTTTCTGAATGAGTGTGGCCGAGGATTTGTGTTGTGAGGATATCATGGGATCGGGCTGCGTGCCGCATCATGTTGTATGGATTTATGATATATGAGAGGTCGAGGGCCTAATTGAATATGCCACGAGGTGGATTGTTATAGCGCTTGGGCTGTAGGAGCCCCTCTGGAGTCTGTACACCCCAGTGAGCGCGGGTACCCTAAGTGAGTGATATGATGTTACACGAGGGGATGTTTTTGATTCATGTTGTGCCCGAGGGGCTGATTACGTGTGATTGTGAGATTGCCCGAGGGGCTGATTTTGAGTGATGTTATGCCCGAGGGGCGGTTTGTGATACATGTTTTGCCCGAGGGGCTATTTATGATTTTCATCACTTTACTCTAAACTTCATTGAACCTCTGTTGAAACTGTTGGTAAAGCTTCTTCAAATGATTTTTACTGAAATTGGATTTTAACGAGATGATTTGATTTATGGACTGTTTGAAATCATATTGTACTTACTGTGATTTTATGGCGTGGATTTATGTGTTTCTTACTGCCCAGTCTTTATTTACCTTTATTACTTACTGAGTTGGCGTACTTACATTGCTCCCTGCACCTTGTGTGCAGATCCAGGAGTTGCTGGACGTGATAGTGAGCGCTGATCTTTCATTCGTCGCGGATATTCGGAGTCGGCAAGGTAGCTGCATGGCGATTGCAGCCTTGCTCTTCTCCCTCTTATCTTCCTTAGACTATATTAGTGTTTTCCAGACTGTGAGAGTCTTAGTTGTATTCAGATAGTCCTTAGTAGATGCTCGTGACTTGTGACACCCCGATGTCGGGCCTTTGTTCTTTCCGCACTTGTTATTTAGACGTATACTGTGAAATGTTATTAATTAATAGCTTAAAACATCTTTATTTTGAAATATCGATTTGTTTTGAGATTGTGTCGGCTGGCCTAGTTTCATGATAGGCGCCATCAGACCGGGTTGGTTTTAGGGTCGTGACAGTGTAGTATGAGTACAACCGATCCCATGTACCTTGTAAATGTCGAGCCTAACCTCGACAAAGTAGTGACGAGGCTTAGGCGGGTCACTTATATCAACCTGTACGCAATAATAATAATAATAATAATAATAATAATAATAATAATAATAATAATAACATAAATGATAGGAATAGAAGTAAAGCAGGTTACTCATAACAACGAAACTCAAAATCAACCAGCAGAGAGTCTCAAATAATCAGTCATATAACTCGTCTCATCAACTGAGGCCAATCCATCAGTCACAAACAATTATAACTTTTATCAATATATTACGGCGTGCAACCCCATCCCACAATATCAACTTTAAACTATCCGTTTCAGCACGCAACCCAGTCCCACGATATAATCATTTGTGAATATCACAGTCCGTCCTTATTCTGATATTT